TGTGAGAGATGGTGTGGGTGTGGCTGTGAGAGATGGTGTGGGTGTGGCTGTGAGAGATGGTGTGGGTGTGTTTGCACACATTACCTACAGTGACTCACCCCCACAGACATGCCAGGCTTTGGGTTTGCATGCCGGTACGAGCAGGTCATTCTACAGTCTTCTTATGCGGCAGTGCTTGGGGGAGGTTTTCCTCGGTGACTCGTGTCTCTGTGCTCCCCCTCCCGCCCCCAGGCACATCTCTATGACACTCCCGGCCAACTTCAGCAGGAAGAGCACCACCCGGCCAGACCACGAGCACCAGAACTCCAACCTGTACGCCATCTCAGGTGAGCTGAGGGCACAGCGACACCCCCGCAGCCCCAGCACTGCTTCTGAGGGCGGGGCAGAATCGCTATGCCGTGTTACTGATTATTAATCCGCTCCTGGTTCCGGATTCTTCTCTTCTCCTGCCGTCCTGATGGGACATGGTTAGGTGGCCCCTCATGGTATGAATGAGCGGGTGACCGGCTTTTTCCACCAGCATTTATCTGATGGTCGCCCTGCTCTGTCACGGGGATGACAGTGAGCTCATCTTGGCGGGAGGCTGCTTCATTGTGGTGGCTTCCTCAGAAAACAAAGCGATCTCTCACCAACGCCTGCCGGGCTGCTCCCAGCTGGACCCACACTCATAAACGTGGGGTGGCGACCCACTCCAGCTCTGCAGAACCCACTGGTACCAGAGGATGATGTAGCAGGACCCATCGGGATGACTGCCTTGTTCTGAGGGGTTTAGGTTTCCGAGGGAGCGGTCAGTCACCTTGGGAGTGATCACTTACGCATGATTAACTGACATTAACAGGGGAACTTGTGATTCTAACCGCTAAAGATTTGCAAACAGTGAAGTTCCGCATTTATGAGGAGAACTGAAATGGTAGAACACAAAATATTGAGACGTAATAACCAGTATGAGTATATGTGCCAAGTTTGTGTGTAACACCTGCAGTTTTCATCGCTGCAGGTGTTTGACGTGTTTGCTGTTCTTTGCAACCTGGAATTCCATGTAGCAAGTGGATTTGACAGATGGTGAATATCTGTGAATTTTACATTGTGTTTGTGAGTTCTGGATAGTGGTGTCACTCCATGTAATCATCACCCCTAGGCATTCTGGATAGTGCTGTTGTCCCATGTGATTACTACCCCTAGGCATTCTGGGTAAGGTAGTTCTCCCATGTCATTGCCACCACTAGAAGCTTTAGTTATGGGGTGAGAGGTGACTTGTTGAAGTTGGGATTTTGCGTCGCCTGAATACGATGTTTTGTCGAACGGCCATTTCTGAGGACTGATGGTGTATTTTCTGTAACAGGCTGGTGTGACTGTCCCTCGTCGTTTTGTGGAAATCGCTTAATTGTTCCAGATGGTACTGGCTGATGATGTGACTTGCCTTTATCCCCCCTGTCCCCCCCAACCCTTGACTTGCCATTTTTGCTGAGATGAAGGCTCCCTTCCCCAGAGTTCGCTGGTCCCTCTATGCTCAGGCGACCTGAACTCTTCTGCATCTGAGTCAGCTTTTCTTAATCTCAGCCACACAGTTCTCCTGGAAACCCTTTGTTCCGGCTCTCCTGATTGGCTTGTTTTCTGTGGCTGTCCATCAAAGCGGGGTTGAGAAAGCCCACTGCGCTCTATGCCGCTCCTTTGTTCCGATCGGAGGCACCGTAGTTGACGATTTCAGCTGAGCTTTATCATAAGACATGCTTAGGGAGCCCCTGATCTGTCTAGGGCTGCATGCTGCTCTATTCTTCACCCTTTTTAATTAATACATTTTTAGCTAATTGCTCTAGTGCTCCTCTTATTGGGATATGGTGTGATTTGGCCTGCTGTTCCTGGCAGAAATGGGTCACTTAGACACACTGGCTTCCGTAACAAAGGGCGACTCCCCTCTTCTTTAAGGAGAGGAACCTTAATATTAGAAAATTCTGGAGCTCCGGCGGGGAGCGCTCCGGAAGCACTTGGTTCTGACGGTTGCTGGGAGACTCACTCAGTATGGATTAACATAATTAATGAGCGCCTCCAGCGTGCGGCCAGCACACAGCTTTAAAGGGGTCATGAATGATTCAGACCGCAGCGGGTTGGTGACTGTGACAAAGCGGTCCTCCTCGCTGCTGTGGGAAGTGGCCCACACGATTCATATTGTGCCACACTGTGAATATGGGGATGTTTATAGCATGCCTGCAGAAGGAAGGGAAAAGGGTGGGCAGAAGGGTGGCTTAGACTGGTATTCTGTATGTACATATGTCTACAGCAGTTATTTGTTTATATACGTTTTGTCTTTGCATTCGTTCTAAGGCGATGAGCCCTTTTAATCGGGCCTTAAATATTACACTTTGATAAGACTTGCAGACTTTGCTTAGACAGCCAGTCGCTCACATATGGCTCCACCTGCTGCCCCAGCATTGAAAATACACGTAGTTAGGTTAACTGGCGTAAACACGACCAGTCTGTACCACGCTGTTTCATTCGTAAATACAGAAGATACAGTGAATATCATTATGAGAACTACTCCATTAGTGAGGGTCTTGGTGCATCTTTTGAGTTTCTGGTCTCTACCACACCACCAACATTCATCACCACCATCCCCTTGCTGTCCTCATTGTCCTTGGGTGTCTGTAGTCCTTGGACCCTCTGGAGTCATCTGTAGCCTTTAGAGAAGACGGGGAAGGAAGAGATGCTTGCATTACACTTGGTAGCTCAAAGCTTTCATTTGTGTAGTAATATGTGGAACCCCCTTACCAACTGCCCATCCTTATAACATGGAGGTGAATGCTCACATCTTATTCAGGAATTAATTCCGGTCACAGGAACAGCTTGGCGGAGCCGCCTGCTTGACCTTCCTCGATGACCAACCCCCCCCCCCCCATGCTTAACAGCAGAGTGCCGTGGTGCCGAATGGGTGGCTTCCCACGCCGAGCCAAGCCGCCGCAGTATTCGCTACCTATCAAGCCGCGGTAAAGGCAATACACATAATTATAGGCCTGCCTAATTATAGTCCCGCTGCAGCTCATTTGTGCGGGAGAATGCAAATTATCATCCTGGCGAGATGTCAGCGGAGCTCCGGTCTCGCGCCGTCTTCAACACGGGACTCATTCTCATGCAAATGCTTAGCAGGGAAATGTTTTGTCCCTTTTCTTCGCCGCTCTCTTTGTGCGCCTCTGAGAGCATCTTTGTGTCGGGATTTAACATCTTTACTGACATGACGGATTTTGGAATAGGGGGTAATTACGGAGGGACTGGTATCTCTGAGACGTTACAGAAACGAGTGGCGGAGAGTTTGCTGAAAGAGAGCATTAAACTCTATTTGTGTCGGTGCGGTTCCACTGTTATTTCAGCAACAATACCGGCCATTTAAAGACCATGTGGGTTTATTTATTTTTTTCTTTTTTTTGGGTAGGAGTAGCTAATGTTATCCCCCCGAACCTTAATGTATGCTGTCACTTATCTCCTTCTGTCAGAAGTGAAAACTAACTCTAGCATTTTTTTTCCCCTCCCACCATCAGCAATGGATGGAGTACCTTTCATGATCTCTGAGAAGTTCGCCTACGTCTCCAGCGATGTAAGTTCTTCCCGCCAAACTTGATTTCCCCTGGCCAGAGCTACGTTGGAGGATAGCTAATTCCGGTCGTGGTGTGAAGGACAGGGCAGCTTAAGTGGCTTAGGGGCGGGGCAGGGCAGGGTGGGTGATTAATAAATTCCTTTAGCTTAGGGCTGCCTGCAGTTTTTCTGTGATTTTCTGTGTTTGATACACGCTTGGATAGTTGTGTGGTTTTCCTTAAGATGAAAATTCCCTCTTCTTAATAATTTCCCTTAAACAGTAAAAAAAAAAAAACATCTGACATGTTTTAAATATTTTGGTAATATGTAGGTAGTCCAAGTGAAAAAGTTTTGGCAGTGTGTTTAACATGTGTGTTGCGCTTTCAGCTGCAGCAGGTCGATCTGATGGCCATTACGATCAAATCGCTGGCGGAGATCGAGAAGGAGGTGAGCAAGCGCTTCCTCAGCGGGGTTACGGGAGGGTGGGCCTCTAGAGGTTAGCAGTGAGTGCTCCAGTTTGAAATGTCTGGATCTTTTCCCATAACCATACCCATTGCAGTGATGTATGTCACCCAGCAGGGGTCAGCGTTGGCTTAAGGATCAGTCTCTTATGCTCAGATTCTACATAATGCAGTAACACATCCAGGTGTCATATTTTGCTATAACTTTTTGTTAGTATAAACACACCATTGTCTAATTGAATGAAAACATTGCTGTCCTGCCCGGTTTTATATAGGCGTGTTTTCTAACACACCCAACCAACCCCTTCCCAGATGTTGGTTCCTGCAATGAAGCATTCTTCCAGTTTCCCAGACAAACTGAGAAACTTGCAGAGATTTTAATTGCCTTTAGCCACCCTTATCTAATTTATCTCAGCTGAAGTGTTAATTGCCGGTGATCAGAGCCATCGTCTTTATGTAGTTTACCCTGATGAGTGGTGGTGGCTTTCATGTTTGTGAGACAGTGTATATTGGGGTAGATTCATTAACAGCTCTTCCCCTCCTGGACTTCCTCCCTTTTATCTTTTCAAAGGCGGATTAGCTGTTTGTTTTATCGAGGGAAGGTGTACAATTGTCTCCCTTGGGCTTGTCCCTGTGATTGGGCTGCTGGAACGCTAGCAGAAAGCAAAGTGGTGCTTTAGTGTTCTTACAGCGGCACCTAGTGGTGAGGTTGTGTACTGCAGGCCAGAATGGAACGCTGCACAGCCACTCACCGTTTCACAGAGTAATATCAGAAGCAGAACATGCTTGAATGGCCTGTTTGTGCAGCGTTACGTCTCTCCTGAACAATGATCATTAGCGTGTTGGCATTATTTCCTGGCCATCTTGGGAGTGTGGGGGGATTAAAAATCTGGCTGAAGCTTAAATGTTTGTGATTGATGTCAGGATTAGAGGCTTTTGTTTCCATTTACTCACAGCCAATCATTCAGCGCCATCCTGAGAAGTGTTGACACTTGGAATTAAATTACAGGTTATTTTTAAACACGATATTAACATTTTTTGGGACCCATTCATTTCTTTGCGGTAGATTTTGTTTTGGTGTACATAAGTCAAATTCAAATATTATTTGGCTTAAAACTTCTGCTTTCGACAAAAAGTGAGATATCTCTGTATCCCACTAGGGGGTAGTATTTGTCAGTCTCCTGTCATTTCTAACTGCGGCATCAGACGACCAGTTTGAAAACCGCCCAAGAGGCGCAGGCAGAACATGCGACATAAAACTAGCAATGCTTTTGGAACTCGGAGCAGATCGGGTTACTGTGCAATTATTGTCAAATTAATCTGGGAAAAATAAAGTAGCCAATGGAAAGCAGGTCCAACGTGCCTGTGATTCACGCCATTCAAGAATCATACATCTTTTCTCTCATCCCCACCTGAGCCTATTTTGTGAGCTGGTCAAACAGGTAACAATGGCACCTGGATAATGTATCATAAAATGCCTTCTATGAGGTGATGTCATTTGGGGCCTGGACTGTGTCTTTTGACCACTTGGGGTTGGACGCGAACGTTACCTTTTGCACCGCGAGCACATCCTGTCAGTACTTTGATTTGTGAGTTTTCCCCTCCTAACCGTTTCCCCTCCTCTTCCTCAGTATGAGTACAGCTTCCGCACGGAGCACAGTGCCGCGGCCCGCCTGCCCCCGAGCCCCACGCGCTCCCAGCTCAGCTCGGAGTCCTGAGCAAGCGACGACCCAGCCGGGGGAGGGCGGGGCCCAAGCACGCAGCGCACTCACACTACTGAGAACGAGCCAGTAGCATCGGCCGGGCGGAGGAGCGAACGCGCCTCCCCCAGCCCCCCTCACCCTCCCAGGCGGCAGCCTCACCTCCATTCTTGGATGTCCTTTTTTTTTTTTTTTTTTCTTTTTTTTAAATACGAAAAAGACCAGTTTCAAATTCATGTTGTGAAACGCGGAAAGAGAGAGAGTGAGAAACCACTGACACGAAGCCCCGAGCCTACAGCTGTGGTCACCTGCCCTCCTGAGCCTGCCTGCTGCACCCTTTCTCCTGTGTCTCTCCAGGTGCTGACTGGAGCTTTGAGACAAAAGGACAGAAATGTCCGAACCGCAGTGTGTGAACTCTACTATGTGTGAAACCACTATGAGGAACAGAACAGCCCGGGACTAGGCCCGGACTGACCGTGAAGGCTACCTTAAATTGTGCATGGCCTGGCTTGCTCCTCATTCACTCCATTTCTAGTCCGTCTGTCACTCCTGGTCTTGGGTGGCTTGGGAGAGAGAGTGTGGAGCGGCGTAGAGTCCCAGCTTGCAGCTGTGAGGCCCGCAGGGCTCCCAGAGAGGCACCTGTGTCCCCAAGCCATCCTTTGTCCTCTTGCCACTGTCACTTTTAGCTCTTTATCGTCACGTCTGAAGATGCTTCCCTAGCTGAGAGCTAAAGTTTAACCACAGGCAGCCCCAGACTCAGGGGTGTTCTGTGCGTGAAGCTGTTTTAAGCCCCAGGGCAGCCTGTTTTCGCCTTTTAGTTTTAACCCTGTCACTTTTTAACTCCAGACTATTTATGCTTAATGGATTAATTGTTGTGCTTTTTAATTTTTTTTATTATATACTTTTTGCACTGTATCGAAGTTTTTTGTTTTCACTCCTTTCAGTCTGAGCCATTTTCTCAGCAGCTCCACCAGAGTAATTACTTGCATCCTGTCACTCCTGTTTAAAAAATGAAATGACATATTGTTGTGGGGGGAGGGGGGGTTGAGTTTGCCATTTAGGATCGGCCGATGGATGAGAGAGTCAAGATGAAACCGAAGTCCATCCTCTCTGTGTGGAGAAGCATCAAAGGGATTCGTTGCACCACTGTAATGACGGAAGTTTACTCCTGGAATGAAAACATTGGTTTCAATAATCACGTTTTTCTTTGTTCTTCTAAATTTGTCAACACAAGGGGAAGTTCTCCTGAGAGATGTGGGCACGGCAACATTACAACTGGTCTTTCCATCTGTCACAGAAAACCTTAATGCTGCTTTTCATGTCATGTGCACAAACCTGTTTTTAATTACAGAAAAACTGTAAATGTCTTGATGCAACAGATTTTACGTCCCCATGCATTAGCATCCTTAAGATCGCACACTAGAATGACACCTGCAGCTTAGTGCTTTTAAACTGCACTCGTTTGATCTGTTTCGGTTTTTCGTATAAGCATTAGAGTGCAGAGATCTCCCTTGTTCCACTGAGGCCTATGCCTGCCATAGCCGAACGTATCATTTAGTGTTTCTCTTCTGTTCTCAGGCACTGTGATTTTTCCCAAGTCTCATCATTTGCTCCTTCCCCACCGATTGTTTTTGTGACTAAAATGTAAACGACCGTTATCTCGTGCACCACCTTTTTGCATTTGATTACTTTTCCTCATTCTCCCATTCACAAAACGATGGCATTCCCGTGAGTGCTATCCTGTACCGAGGAACAAATGATGGTTTTTTTTTTTCCAATCACGAGCAAACACTGCCACTGTTCACCTGGCTAACCTCAACAGATGCTGCCAGACAAACATTCTCTGACTTTAATGCGATTTCTGTTTGGTGCTTGGGCCAGATGAACCAGCCCTGCCCTCTTGCTACGTTAAACCCACTGGGCTGAACCTGTGAGCTCTACATCGTCGTACTTGCTGACCGCTTGCATGTTTACAGATGTTCTTTGTGGGTTTGCCGTAACGTGTCGTTGCTTTCAGTTCTGAATCCACGAGGCTGTGATTTGACAAATTGCCTTTCTTTATGTGTACAGACTCCGCCTTGACACTGCATGTGTTTTTTTGTCTCTCTCTTCTGTATCAAGCAATTTATAAACACATTTCAAAATGTGAAATTTGGGAGAGCTATGCAGAAGTTTTTAGTTGTTTTTCCATAAATGTGACATTAACATAACTATGAGGGGAGGGTGGGGGGGGCTGGGGTGAATTCCTTAAAAATCAAAAAATTTTGTGCTCTTTAGTGAAGCATTAACAGACTTCCCTGTTACTGGTTCTGAGTGATTTCCCCCCCAGAGGGAGCGATATCTCCACGGGCGACATTTTTTACCTCTGCGTGTAACCCGCTGTCCAGTCGATCCCATGGCCCCATGTTGGCTGGTCTAACGCGAGGATCCGAAGCATCTCGGCTTGTAACAGCCAGCGTCTGGGCTGACTGAGGCCGCGTACGTGTTTCCAGAGGTGAACACGCATGGTGCCGTTGTGTGCAGCCGCTCGTCACCAGTTAAAAATGATAAATCTGGATCAACAGCGGCCACTTCGGCTGTATTTTCCATATTTGGTCTCCTCCTTTGGAAGCTGTGACTTAAAAAAATTAGTTTTACTAGCAGCGTGCAAATGTTCTTGGTTTTGTTACCTCCCGGGTCGTCGTTAACAGCAGAGAGACCGCTGAAGACGCTACTGTAAAACGGTCTTAGTTTGCAGCGTCAGTGATGTGGGTTCGGTTCCATGCAGACTCTTGCGTCATGGAACGTCGTCTGTGTGTGTGTGTGTATATATATATATTTTTAAATAAACAACACGAATGGAGCATTTCTCTCCTGTGGTTCCATTTTAAAGTAACTAGTCAAGAACAACCCCCCCCACAACCATTAATCTGAGGCTCATTTCATCCTACAGTTTAGATCAAAGGCTCATGCCAATTGTGTCAGTCTGTTTGGGAATGTTTCAAGTAAGGATATAGAAAAATAAAATCTTCAAAGGGGCAGACCTTTCGATGGTGAAGTGACATGAGGCTGCAGTGTGGTGGCAGACGTCCCCCGGCGAGGGGGCTGTGGTCACTGGGAAGGTTGAAGGTCGGCTGGGAGGGAGAGGCGCAGGTGATCGTCACGGCGCCCTGTCTAGGCCGTTTTAAGCGGATTCAGACAATCGGACAGGATTTCCCTCCTGCTAGTGTTGCTGGAGCCCTTCCCTGTGATCGTACATCAGGCTTTATTATGTTCTGAAAGAGCTACTCGGCCCGATATGCTTCAAAATACCACCGTTCCTCAGCAGGCTGGTTCTGCAGAATAACAAATTGCGTGTCAGGGCCGTTCCAAAAAGCCTTACTTCACTCTTCTGGCCAGTGTGCCCCCACCTCCAGCTCAATCCTGAGTGCCTTGGCAGTGTGACCATCTCGCACATAGTAAAACTCTTGGAGAAGCTGAGATTTATTTTCTTTTTCCCACATTTTTTATTCTGAGGTAAAACAATTGAAATGGTGCAAGTCTATCGTTCAGTTACAGTTAGTCCCTGTGTTAGTCGTTGCATTTTGCCGTTCCTCTTTCCCTGGGATCACTCAAGCTCTTAGTGCTGTGAACTGAAACTGGGCTTCTTAAAGTGTCCCATAGCCCCCTTGTTGTCTTTCCTTTGTAAATGTGGGGTGTCTTCTGTAAATAGCCGCCGTGACAGTATACGATCTGATCTGTCCCCCCCTGAACCTGTGATGAAGCAGGTGCATTTCTGTGATTGCCAAAACCGAACCGCGAGATGCTCGACTGGAATGGGCACCTTCTGCAGATTGAATGGGGATGCTGGAAGAGGTTTGCATGTTTTCTGCAGCCAAGATCCATGTATGAACCACAAATGTGTGATGATATAAAAAAAAAAAACATGTAGGAATTGTAACTTTTTTTTGTATTTATTTTAGGATCTGTTCTTATTTTACAAAGGGACGTATCATTGTGTGATTATTAGTCTGTATTAATATAATTTGAATAAAATTCCATTTAGTGGCTTTTGGTATTGTGCTGTTCTGTTGCCAGGGGAGATGGTCGTGGTTCTATTTTAATTGCCATGACAACCGGGAGCTTAAAGTGGGTCTGTTACCTCTATCTCCTCCCGGTTCATGGCGCTGTTAACTCTAATAGGCCATGGCAGTGGGCTTGTTTGTGCGCACACTTTCGCAGGGTTTAGGCTCTTGGTCTGTTTCCTATTCTGGTCATTATGAGTATTCAGCCTCAGTATAACCTGTAGCTCAGCAATTGTGTTGCGCTAACATGAGGCTTGTGAGTCTGGATCCCCGGAAGCACACGAAATCCCTCTGTTGTAAGTCGCTGTGGATAAAAGTATCAGATAAAAGTATCACAAGAATGGATGTTTTATGTTAGCCTCTGCGGTGCTTTTTTTGGAAAGTAAAACATGCCAGTAGGCAATAATTATGCTGTATCGGGTAACTCAACACACCTAAAATGTACGTTAAACATAAATGTAAATGTAATCTAATATGCATGTTAAGCTGACATGGCGCCTTCGAGCTTAAGGTGCTACAAACATAAAGATTCTCGGTGTCTGAGTTCAAAGACAAATCTGTGCTGCTACAAATTCCCTAAATTACATTTATAGAAAAAAGTTTAAAAAGAGGGATAAAAATTGAAAATGGAGCCTAAAAAGGTGGCAGTACACTGTCCCGGTGCACACCGTCATGGAAAAGCGCCGGTCCTGTGCACACATTCGCTGGCCTGCAGTTGGCTGCACGGGTGGTTTAATGACATCGAATGCGGGCGCATTGACGAGTGTTCGGTTCAGGTGAGTTTCTGTCACTACATGCCTCGTTTCCGACCGAGTGCCACAGGGGTTCTCACAGTCGGCAGCGCGACTCCTCTTCTAGCCCTCGGTGGCCTTGGTTTCCGACTCCAGGCGTCGCTTTGAATGAACGTTAACATTCTATCTCGGTGCGGAGTCGGCGGCAGGCCGATCCCGGGGCCTGGCTAACGTGAAGGCAGCCTCAGAAACGGAGGTCTCTGCGTTAAAGCGCACAGCACGGGAGGCTCTAGCTACAGGAATCCCAGGGCTGTGTTTCTGCCTTGAGTCGGGGTCCTTTTATGCCCCACAGCGTTGAGGGTACATAAGATGACGAATGCCAAATTCTGGCATTCTCCCCTTCCTTCCCTTCATTCCCCCCCCCCCCCATCATGAATCATTTAGTATAATTGAACTAATAATGGATTGCCATGCACTCTTCTCAGATGCCTTGGGGCAACTCTGTTTTGAATGGTGCTATATAAAAATATATTGAACTGGTGCAAGACACAGGACACGCTGAGAGATCGGACCTGCCAAACGTGACTGATCCAAAAAAAGAATTAAATAATAAAAAAAAAAAAATAATGAAGATGTGGAATCACTTGAACTTCATTCAAATGTTATTTCCAAGCCCGCAATGTAATATTAGCCTTTGGTAGATTGCATTTCTCCGCAATTGCTGCGGTGATTTAGAGGCCATACGGCACCTGTTTGTCAGGTTTATTGGCGACAGTCTTCTGCCTTCCTGTTTACAGGGAAGTCTCACCTATGCTTTTGAAGCTCGGACTGTGTTACCGGTGTGTCATGCCTGAACACACAAACATTGTGGATCGCGGTGTGTGTGTGTGTGTGATTCAGCGAGGAGTTTCTGGTGACCAGCCACAGCAAATCGTTGCTATCACCCTGGAGCTTGTAGGGTCTGTCCTTCCTCTCGCTGTTCTCGTAGGGTAGCTTGGCTACAGAGGTGAGAGCACTGCCTATGTTTGCCACTTGCCACATATTTTCTAAGTGGCTGACACTGTTTTCAATGCCTCCCGGACAGCGTGTTTGGCAGCACTGTCCGCTTGGTCATAAACCGCTGATTGTTTGATTTGCCTAATGGCCAGACAAACTTTACGACCATTCTTACTACATTAAAGTGCTTATTTTGCATATAAACAGTTGCACGGAGTTCTTAACCAAAATGTCTACTGCGATACGCTAAGCATGTCTGGACTCGAAGGTGCTTTTTTCAATAGGCATGAGCAGGTTGCTATTGGACACGCTGTTGGCGATCAAACAGGTACGTTTTTGCCAGCAAAGCCATTGAGTCACAGTGAAACAAAAGCCAGAATTTTCTAGCATCAGAAAAACCACAGAACTACTCTGCGCTTGCCAGACCTCGCTAGCGTGGTCCCCTCACGTCACGCCGAGACTGCATGACCTCATCCACTGAGGTTTTTAAGGTAGCCGTCCAGTGTTTTCACATCTGACCGGAATTCACAAAAATGATAATTATGAAAATGTGTCTGCAGAGTATGTTACAAGAGTACGCCGGCCGCTATTGCGTGGATAAACGTGGATTTTTTTTTCCTTTAAGAGGAAGCTGTCTCGGTCTAGTAAAAGAGCAGCAGAGAGCCAAAGTCTGTAATTAACTTTGATCAAATCCACCTGTATACATGTGTTTCCTTGGCTAGTGGATGCCTTTGTGCCAGAGGGTCACTGCTAGGGATTTCACACACACTTGTGTGAAAGAGAATTATATCCAACCTTCCTGAGGTTAAGAGGGGGGGTTGGGCATATGACACATTTCGTAAGGAATAATAAAAAAAAAACATCTCCGTAACACCACAACATTCAAGACTTTATTTGTCTTATGCACAGTAAACAGTCAATTTCACTATGCAGTGAAAAACTCTGCATGTCCTTCTGCCGAAAACAAAATTACCACTTAGATCAGAAGTATAGATTAAGGTATATATAAATTTGGGTGCATGTTCATGTAGTAACAATAAATTCAATTACAACTCTCACAACAAATACTCAAGCACGCAATGTACCAGATAGTACAATGCAAACGTAGACAACAATATAGGCCGAGAGAGAGGTTGGGGTAGATCGCTGGCCAGCTCTATGTGCCAAGTTCAGCCGCTACCCTGGGGTACAGACTTCCAATCTGGGCTTGTCATTAATGTTTGTTAAGGCCTGATTTCTCCATTAGTCATTAACGTTCTGGGCTCTCTGTGACTCTCTCTGGCCTTGCTCAGATGGAAAGGTCTCCCCTACACCCTGCAGACGGGAGATCTGGGTTTGTCCTTCTGACGGCTGGCTGGCAGAAGCACAAATCCTGGGGGAGCAGGGTAGGGGGGGAGAGGGATGATATATCCTGTCTTTAGACAGGTGCACTGACCCTGCGCCCCCCTGTAGGTGTGACGGGCACCTTATTGGACATTTACGGGAGGCATGGCCCTTTTAGCACCCGCTGTGTGTATGGGCCGCCCAGGTGGGGGTGGGGGGCTGCGGGGCCTTAGGAGACCTGCGCTTCTGGGTCCTTTATTGGGCATTAGGTGGCCCCTCCAGTCCAGCAGAGGTTGAAACAGTGCTTCTCATCACTCAGAACGAGGTTTTTTTTTTCCATTCTGTTTTACTGCATTTGACTGAGAATGAATGGGTTGGCGGGGGGGAGGTTGAGTGCAGACAGTGGCAATTCCAGGTGGCTACCAGACGCTCTGTTCAGGACGGGAGGAAGGACAACCCCCCCACCCTCCCATGAGCCCCTGGCTTGTCTTGGTCGTAGATCCCCAACAAGCAGTCGCTCGCATGTGCTTATACCGTGTGTCATTTCGCGTGCTGGAAGAATAATTTAAATATATATTGCTAATATATAGAAATGAGCAATAACCATCTATGGGCATTTTAATGCTCGGAATATTAATGGAATGTTAAATCCCGTTCGCCGATTGGACGCGAACTGGAGAACTTGCGTGAGAAGAGCCAATGAAATGATGAGTCATGCAGCATAGATTCACCCAGTGCACCATTTTTGAATGTCTAAGACACCTTTTTTTATTTTAATAATTATAGTATAATTAGTTAGGGAATATGATATGAAAAAGAGCTTGGAGTGTTGTGTGGCTGGGGGAAGGATTTTCTTTGTTTCTTATGCGTAATGCAGGTGTGCTCAAGCACAGAATCACGTCCGTGTTTACATGCACGCCGTACATCGACGGCGCGCTCCGAAAAGCCCCTCAGATCATTTTCTGGGTTGACCTCGGGTTCACAGCCCGGCTTGCGGCCCCCAGATGGGACGCCGTAATAGCGCACAGTTCCCTGTCCCCCCCCCATTACGGTTTTCATTAGACTTTATGGCCCAGCCATGGTTTTCTCTCATCTTGATAAAGGCCAGACCCCACTGTCTCTCTTCCCCCTTCACTGCCCCCCACTCCCAACAGCGCAGAGCTCTGCTTTTTTCCTCGTCCTCTGGGGGGCGGACCGCCAACGTCGAGTGAGAGAGACAGCGTCCCAGAATGAGATGACCTGCCCCAGCACCTGTGGGAGTGCATGCTGGCAGTAGGTTCGATTCCTCGGGACAGACCGCAGTCATGTCACCCAGGACTGCCTCTCCTAGGAGCCACTTTACTAATGCAGCGTATTAGTTCCTTCAGGGGTGTTTTATATTTGGTTTAGATTACATTACACTAAATTAAAGTAACAGATGCTTTCATCCAAAGCAGCATGCACTTGAGAATGCACAGTTAGCCCGTATTTAGAGCAATCAGGATTAAGGGCTTTGCTTAAGGGACGGCTGTGAAATCACTCTTCTGACCATGGGTTTTGAACCAACAACATTCTGATCACACCCACACCCTGCATAGTGTATAGTATTCATACACAGTATGAGCAAATGATTGCAGGTCTCAGGAGAGCTTGTGGTTGAGCAAATAAATTACAGTATTTCCGCAAAAGTGAAAATAAACTGCAAGCTGCACGCAAGTAACTCAGAATAAAAGAACTCATGCGAATGCATGGAACTATCCTGCCATCCAGTGTGTTTATTATGGGATTTAAATCAGTTTCGTAATAGGTTTTAAAGACCATTTCGACTATAAAAGCAGAATAGGCCTGAGTAAGCAAACACCACTGAATCCTTTATGTCAGTCAGTTACTTTGTTTTCAGTCAGTTGCTCAATCCAGGTGTTACTGGAAAGTTCATGGTTTGCAATCAACCTGTGT